TAGTTACTTAAGTGTTAATGCAGCACTATTCATTCGTTCCTGCTTAGTTCCTGATTAGTTACTTATTAACTACAAAACAGTATTGTTACTGTAATTTAAGTTAGGGCAGCAGATCTTGATTTTCGTTTTTGTTTGCTACAACCACCAAGTTCTTCCTGAGACCTGTGATAGAAATAATGGCAAAAAATCATGTCTGTTCAATATTTTAGAGACTATTACATATTAGCCCATGCTTGATGTCAAATAAATGTATCATTTCTAATATTTATTTGTAATTCAGGTCATTGGTCTTTCAGAATATTAGTAATTAATAATAAAGGTCATTCTAAATTTCCATTTTATAAAAAACAGGTCAAATACATGAGAAATGTAGGCACAACTCTTATTTTTCTAATAACAGGAGTGGTCTGTTGTCTATTAGAGGTCACAAGGCCCATGCCAACACCTATTTGAAAAAGATTGTTCAAGCTTGTTTGATTCCACTCCTACAGAGCTCGTGCATTCACTAATTTGGGAGTTACCAGACTGTAATCATTAGCAGAGAAAAAACAAATGAATTACATTCATTATAATGATGAGCCATTTGGGCATCACACAGTTGGAAAACACAAGGAACATACCACACATGAAGTAGTTCAAAGTGAATAATTTCTTTCCTCAGATCATCTTGAAAAGAGTAGGGAAGACCAGTTGTTGTAACACCTTTTGCTTCAGCACCTGTAACTCACTGAATTTTTGAGCTAGAGTTCTCAAACTTTTATACAAAGTACCTACATGTGTTTACTACAAATAGCACTAATCCAAACCTTGGCAAGAATATCACAGACCTCGAGTTGATGTTAAATACATGGTGTTCCTTTGTTACAACCTACCCCACAACCAGCTTCCTAATGATTTGCAGTATCTGCTCAGTGTCACATAGCAGATCCCATGTGCCTTTACAACTGATCTGACTGACTTGCCCTTCTTTTTGCCTTCATTTGCTTTTTTAAAAAACATTGGCAGACACATCTCTGTCAGTCTTTCCTTTGTCAGCCTTTCTGATTAGCCATTCTTGAAAATGATTAAAATCAAGAAAGAAGTTGTATGCCAAGTTGTATGTAAGGGGATAATTGTGACACCTTCTAAAGATGTGTTAAAATCCAGCCCACCCTGTCAGCCATTGTTTAGCTGTAATAGCACAGTGGTTTGACATTAGCAGGGGAAAAATTTTGTCTTAACTACAGTTAAATCTAACGTCATATGACTTTTTCCTGTAATAGTACAAGTACTAAAAAAAAAATAGCATCAATAAATTTACTTTCTCACCTCAAAATATATTTTTTTCTCTATAGAATCTGTACGTGCCTATTTGCAGGCTTGACAACCACCGTGTGGGATCAGGGTGGAAATGGTTAAACAATGAAATGATCATTTGCCTATCTAATCCCTGTCTGGTGAAAATGGGGAAAATTCTTCCCATGTTACAACCATACCTGGTCTCCCCCTACTTAAAACTGTTGCCTGGAAGCAGTATAATAAACATAAAATCTAATATTACTATATATATTTTAGATTCAGAACGATATTTCAACTCATTTCAACAGTAAAAAATTCCAACCTGGAGAATCAGACTTGGTATCACCACAAATGTGCACCCTTTTTTCTTCTGCTATCTGCTCCATTAGGTAATAATAATATTGTTTTCGGTTATATGCATACTCAATTACAGGAATGAGACATGATGAATGAATAGAGTAATAGGCAGATTTTTTGGGAATCTGTAAATTGAGCAGACTTGCTCAGGAAGCAATTTCTGTGTAGGTAGTACCAGTGAAGAGAATGGACAATGAAAAAAACAAGTTGTTTACTGGAAAGCCTCTAACATCTGAGCAGGACTGCATGAGGATGGACAGCTTGGTGGCAAAACAAAAGACGCATCTGCAGCCTCCAGAGAAGCTTCACCCACAGAGCTCATGAAGGTGTCAAACAAGGGAGCAGACTGTTTAGGTTGAAATAAAAACCTTAGTGCCAGTTCTACTTGCATACATTATGTAAGAACATAAACATACACAGGAGTTCTGACACTTCTTCTATTAACCCTACGTCGCAGAATGTCTGCACCAACATGAACAGCACAATAAATTCCTGAGAGAGAGGGCCTTGTTTGTGCAGTAACTATATGTGGATATGTGAGTAGCAGATTGTTGTGGGACGGTCCTGGGTACAGTTACGTAAAATTGTTATCTAAAAGTTATCTATAGTTAGGCAGCTATTTATGCATTGTAATGCAGGGATTACCAATCTTCTTTCATTAGGAATAAATTAACACATATTTGTCACAAAGAAGATTAAAACTACCAACCAAAGCATAGTTATTAGAACAGCGTCACCAATTTTAACCATTAAAGGCTGATGTGGCTGTAGATTTGAATTCCAACTTAACTGAAGCCTATTTTATATTCAGTTCAGTAGTTTTGGTAGTTTGAAGAATGAGAACAAACGATGAAACAAGTGCTTCTGCTCGATTGGAATGAAATCATACAACCACACCATCCCTTTGGAAAAAAATGATGACCCCTGTTCAACTTTGCATGATTTATTTGGTAAGTTTAGGCTGCTATGTCAAAAACATGTTGATGTATCCCTTATGACACAACAGAGCATACTGTCAATGGTAATAATAGTAATTCAAATTTTAGCACACAACACAGCTAAGAAGTATTGGGAACTTTCGACAGCAAACTACTGGTTACCAGTTTATGGGGTAGGATAGCGAGGTGGATGGATATTGTGTGGCCTGCTTTAGATAGTCTGCTATATTTGTAGTATAGACATCATGACCTCTGCTTTCTAGTACTACAATTGTGAACAATTCCAACCTGGTAACTTTCTTTAGAAAGGTGCATTTCACACTAAACCTCTCTGAATGATTTTGTTTACATCTAAACCAATGAATGATTAAGTAATATTGCAAAATCAGTGGAGTTCCCCTTTAACTCCTGTAGGTATGGTGGTGTTGCTGTGAGCGAATCCTCCAATAAGAATACAGCAAGTCAACCTGTAGAGAGAAATGGGAATAAGATTAAAAACTAGCTAAAAATACTTACTTATGAAAATAAGTTCAGTAAATGGCTATATACAGAATTAGAACAGAGATATTATTGAATACGGTGTGATTCATCTGACTTCTGTAAATTTGGTTTAGTCCAGGACCAATTAAAAGCAGGGCTTATGATTTAAAACTCTAGACTACACTAGACTGATGTAATTATTTTCCTTTGTGTGTGAAATTGATAAATCTGGAACTCAAAGCATTGAGAATCAAATAATACTGGTCTGGGGAGAATGGCTGTATGAATGTTGACATCAAAGGTCAAAATTAGGTCAAGGGCAATGAGTACACCCCATTACATTTTGAGTGAAGTGTTTAAGTTGAATCTAAGACACAGGTGCCTTACTAAGTGGATCCTGTGCTTTGTCAAGATGAATATTAATAATGTCAGCAAAGTATTCGTCAGGTGTAATCCACGTTTCAGTGAGTCACAGAGCATCAAAATCATGATCAGCAATGATTTCATATATATATATATATATATATATATATAGATAAATATATATATATATATATATGTTATTTTTCATATATATATATATATATATATATATGTTATTTTTTTTAGTTGTGGCAGTGATATTCTTAATTTCAGCACCTTTCATTTAAAGGGGCCAGTATAAAAAATACAATGCAAGTAAAAAATGCAAACTGCAGATTTTTCAGTGTTAACCTTTCATAGTGCAAACTTGCTCCCAAATCTATGTGACTTTCAAAAGAGAGAAATGTTTTGCATTTCAAATCAGTCAGAAGAAATGATCTACAGTTATATGCAAATGTTTGGGCAGCCCTGATCAAATTCATTTTATTTTTTTTTTTTTGTGTAAATAAGTTAACACATCCTCTACAGAGAACATACTTCTGCACATTTTAATACACAATTACTGTTTATTTACTGAATTTAAGGCTGCACTATGTTGTTATGTTTCTGTTTTTTTCTGTTCAAATTGAAATAAGGAGCATTCCTCAGCTGGGAGAATAAAAACAGGCTAAAATATGTTGTCTGTGCACTGCTGTGAGTCTCCCTGTAAAGCCTGAAATAATTATTTAGACTTCTTTAAAAGGGTCTTGCTGGATTTTTAGGTCTCAGATGCAAAAGCAACATTATACTGAATAAGACACGATGACAACTGTAGATAACTCACATCCTCAAAGCTGTGCCTTCACCACATTTTGACTGTGACTTCTGTAAATTAATGTCTTTTGACTTTGGTTTAGTCCAGGACCAATTAAAAGCAGGGCTTATGATTTAAAAGTTCACTAATGGAGTGTAAACGGGGATCAGCCACGTTAGCTAAGAAGGCTGAGTTGTGTTTAGATATGAATTGTGTATGTGGTGTCACAGCCCTAGACTAAAGCTGAAGTAGAGCTTTACTGTTTGAGTGAGGTTGACTGGAGAGTCCACAGAGTCACTAGACTGAACTCTTTTTGAGAATGTAATTATTTTCCTTTGTGTGTGAAATTGATAAATCTTCACACACAAAGAAGCCTGAAAATAATAATTTAGTCTTCTTTAAAAAGGTCTTGCTAGATTTTTAGGTCTCAGATGAAAAAGCAACATTATACTGAATAAGATATGATGACAATAGTAGATAACTCACATCCTCAAAGCTGTGTCCTTCACTATGTTTTGACTGAAACTATAGAATAGAAACTAATAGAAATTGTACACTAAAATTAGCAAAAAAAAGCTGTATTTGACTTTGTGTGTCTTGTTTTTCAGCAACAAGACATATAATTTGACAAAGGGAGCAGGTGGAGGTGGAAATTTCCATAGCAGAATCTGTGACTACAGGAATCTTCTTGATAATCATCTATCACATGATATCCTTGTTGGCAAAACAGGTTGCAGGCAGCTATAAATTGGAGGCTGAAATGCTACTGCACTTCACTTTTAGTGTCAACTTTCAAGACCTTCAAAGCAAGATAAAAGCAATGGCTCAGTACAAGGTGAGATGACAATTAAGTGATGATTTAAAAACAACTTGGTATTAGTTATTTAGTTATTTTGTAATCATGGCATCACAAGTCTCAATATTTATTAAATAATCTTTATAAAATAACAAATTGTAACCAAAAAATTTGTGACAATTGGGTATATAACAGTCAACCAAGTACATAATTTGTCTGTAAAGTTTCTGGCAATGTATTGCCCATTTGACAAATATATTAAATGTTTAACAAATTGCCATGTATTTGCAATGCCTGGGAAGTTATGTTAAAAATACACAAACTTTTAATGCATTACTAAATATGCACTGATCTGATTTTGAATCGTGATATTTTGTATTAATGACATTTTGAAAAAGCACAATGTTATGCTATGCTGTGTCTACATGCATCAATAGGTGTAATTACACATCATGAAATACATACTGCATATCTGAGGCTTAAAAACTATTTTGACACAGATCTTCAATGACCCTATTCATGGTCACATTAAGATGCACCCTCTGCTGGTGAAAATAATTGATACTCCAGAGTTTCAGCGCTTGAGGAACATCAAGCAACTTGGAGCAGGCTATTTTGTCTTTCCAGGAGCTTCTCACAATCGCTTTGAGCACTCCATTGGGTAAAGTTCTGCTACTCGACTGGGTCATTCATATAGATACAACAGAAACTTGAATGTGAGTTACAGTGAACGGTATTATCAGGTAATAATTATGTATATTTCATTTCACATCATTTCAACAGTGTGGCTCATCTGGCAGGAAAGCTTGTACAGAGTTTGAGAGCTCAGGAGGATTTGGGTATAACTGAGAAAGATGAACTCTGTGTGCAGATTGCTGGACTGTGTCATGACCTGGGTGAGATTGTTCATTAGGCTATAGGCAACCAGTATGCGGAGTATCACAAGCAAATAATAATTACAAATTTTTATTAGTAAATTCAGATGTTGCCTGTTTATATGTAACATACCACATATACACAACACGTAGATCATTTATTTTATTAGCTAATTTTGAGTAAGGATTGCTTCCAATAATAATTAAGACTGTTGAATATTTCTCAAACTAAGGTCATGGCCCATTCTCTCATGTGTTTGATGATGTTATGAAGAATCTGAATTCAAAAAAAAAAGGAAAAACAGAAGAAGAAGAAGAGGAAGAAGAAGAAGAAGAAGAGTGGAAGGTACTGAATTAGCCTTTGCTATATTTTACAAATGTCAAACTTAGAGAAACTCTAGTCAGTTCAATGATTATATACACCGAAGAGCCAAAACATTATAACCGCATAACAACGGCACATGTCAAGGTCTGGAATATATTAGCAAACAGTCATTTCTGTGGATGCCTCAAACTTCCATCTACAAACACAGATTACTAAGTAAAGTGGCTGGCTACATATAGTCTAATCTGGACCTTAAAGTAGTAATCATTTGTACAGTTTTGTACAAGTTAATTTTTTTACAAAGGTTCACTTCATCCTGCAATACACTATACATAATAGTTGTTATATGTCTTTTCACATTTGCACGTTTAGATATCAATTGACCATTTATGTATAGACCAGTTCCTTTCACAGTGGCTCTTTATTATTCTTTCTTATTTTTTTATTTTATTTGTTCATTAGTTAAATACTTATGAACAGTCTGTGTGCTTGCCTGGCAGCATATTCCACTTTTTTCAAATTCAAATGCATTTGCATTTCTGTGTATAATGGCTGTCAAAGTTAATGTGGAAAAGCAAAGTCTTTTTTGGAATTCATTTCCATTGTCTTTTGACATATTCAAAATGGAAAAATAATCGCCCATTTGCAATTGCATTTCCTCATGATTACGCTTCAGTTCCGCCAAAATTAAAACGTATTTACAATCCTGTTTGCAATTGGATTTTCACTGTCAACCAGGCACTCAAGTCAATCAAACGTGGGAAAGTCCTGCGAGCCTCTGCCTGAAGCCGGTCACAATGGCTCTAATATTGGTGTTTGCTAGCTCTCCTAGTCAGTCACGACTCATTCAACACGAAACAACAGGGAATCATTTTGGACAGAATTATCCTTGGCTTGGCTGGCGAGTGTTAAAATGTCACTAGCAGCCGTTGCTAATGCTACCTCAACATTTTAAACTAGCATCTAGCTATGAAAGGGTTGGACTAGTCACTACCTCTTAAAACACACTTGCACTAAAAAGTCTCTCTCGACATCCCGCCCACAGCATTTGATTGACAGAGGTGTCTCACTGACAATGCAATTGCAAAGAAGATACATTCTAATTTTGGCAGAGCTGAAGTTTGACAATAAGGAAATACAGCTGCAAATGGGCAATTCCATGGGCGATTTGTAGTATGTCAGACCATTAAGACAATGAAAATGAAATGTCAAAAGCACTTTGCTTTTCCATGTTAAATTTTTCCAGCTATTACACAGAAATTCAAATACAAATACATTTGAATTTGAATTATGTCTTTAAAAAATGCATACTTATACAGGGAATGCAGCTGTAAATACACAACTGAATTTGCTTTTTCAAATTTGCATTTGAATTTGAAAAACATTCGGAATATGCTGCCATCATATATGTGCGCACTAACCAAGACACATCTCTTGTATGAGTTACATATGTGGTAAAATAAAGTAATTCTCATTCTGAATAAGAAAATAGTACCTCACCTGTAGACTTTGACTGTTTTCTCATGGGACAGCATGAAGCAGCATCAGTACAAATGTTTGAACACCTGATTGATGTAAATGGCATCGAGAGCATCATGAAAGGGGATTACAAATTCAGTCCTAGAGACTTCCTGTTCATCATGGAGCTTATCTACGGCCCCAATCCACCAAGCAAGAAGAAATGTTGCTCTACCACTCTGCTCTGCTCTACCACCTCCCCTCAGGTACAATATTTAGATGCAGAAAGCATTATGTTAAAATGCTTTCTGCACCTAAATATTTCTCTAGTACTACACTTGTAGCTTGTTGTGGTCATATTTTGGATATAATCCCTTTTCGCAAGATTAACTACTGATATATGAAATATTTTATATCAGGCTCAAAATCAAGTGTGCACATATGTAACATTCTACCCTAATACAATGACGTGTTAGAATGTCACTAAATTCTGGGATGTATACTTAATATATCAATACTGCTTTGATGTGGATTTGAGGAAAGGGTGCACTTAGTGTTTATTTAGTGCTTGTAAGATCATCTTAACTAGTAGAAATAATGTTCAGTGTTATGAACACTCATTAATACCAGTGACTGGGAGTTCAAGAGACCCTAATTGGTCTAATTGGCATAATCACTTCCTCTGAGCGGGTGTCCATCACTCAGTTGATTATTTTTATTATGAAACCTTTTTAATATTTTTTTTTAAAAAAAGTATTATTTAATTAATCATTCTGATTTTAAATATATTTTGGGTTCGCTGTTAAATACATTCTTACACTCTTTAGGGATCTTTCATTGATAAAAGTCATTTGAGAAAATCATTTGAGATTTTTTGTGACATTATACTATAAATAAATAAGTAAAGAAACAAATGGTTAGCATTAATGGTTATATAACAATTAATTTATTCAACCCTTTATTTATTTATTTATTTCATCGGCGCTGATTGCTTTGGCCTGCTGTACGGGTTATTTCTGTAACCAGCACAGGACAGTTTCAGACTGTCAGAGTCTGAAGATGTGATCCAGCACTTCTCCATTGCTAGAGCCTGAGCAACAAATCCACTGCCTGTCTTTCCACTTGTGTACCATGTTTTCTTTGGATTTTCAGATAATCAAACTATGGCGATGTGTGGAGTGTCTGAGAGAACTGTTAGGACGAACATGGAAGAAACGGTATAGGGTAGCTAGCTTATCATTATATGGATATATGGAATGTATGGATCACTATCTATTAGTAAAACAAGAAAAGATATTAAAAGTACTTGCTACTACTTTTAGTAGTAGTTCTACCCATCATCTAGTTTGCTACCTCACCAGCATTACACTGCTTAATTTTTAGAACATGGTGCTCAGTACAGCACTGGGAAAGCAGTCGTTGCTCAGTTTGCAATGCTCTAGCATTGGAGAAGCGCTGGAGCACATCTTCAGAGTCTGAAGTTACCCTGAGGTCCAAAAAAAATACAGTAGCAACACGCAAAAGCAATCAACTTGAAAGATCGGAGTTACGCCCACCCACTGTCTGATGGATGATATTGAGAGATTGAATTAATTCACAATGTAGAGTAAGGCAGCAGGTATAAAATAAATATTTGAATGAAGCAATCATTAAATTATTAATTAATTTATTTTAACAATTAATAAAATATTAATAACATTTATTTGTATAACAATGACTCACAAATAACAATTTCAAAATATAAAAATAATCATCATTGAAATCATTTACTTCTTTAATTATTTATTTATATAATAATGTCTTAAAAATTGAGCAGCACAGTGGCACAGTGGGTAGTGCTGTCACCTCACAGCAAGAAGGGCCTGGGTTCAGTTCCCCGGCTAGGCGATCAGGATCCTTTCTGTGTGGAGTTTGCATGTTCTCCCCGTGTCTGCATGGGTTTCCTCCCACAGTCCAAACAATCAGGCCAACTGGTCATGCTAAATTGTCCCTAGCTGTGATGGACTGGCAACCTGTCCAGGGTGCTCCAGCACTCACCCCCCAACCCAGAAGGATAAGTGTTTAGAAAATGTATTACATAAGTCATGTATTCTCCAGGGTGCAGTTTCCAGCAGTCTGTTTTAAGAAATCTCCATCAAATAAGGAAAACTTTTTCTGCCAAACCACGCAATTAGCTTCCGTAAACAAACACACCATTGTTGCTCCCATGTTGGCAAGATAAAAACAATTCAATCAATTTATGTGAGCAGACAGAAACAAACAGATACAGAAAATTATTACTTAAATATTCTATTCAGTACTTGACAGTATTTGTTTGCTACTGCACATTTTATTATACGTTTGGTATAAATGTTTGTCTTTATCTTGTACAGTGGCCATACAAGGGAAGGTCAAAGGAGAAGTCCTTCTTGTATCAGATTGTGGCCAATCGCCAAACTGGCATTGATGTTGACAAAATGGATTATTTCAGTCGGTGAGTTTTTTTTCTAGTGTTTTTATGGGCTCTATTTTTCATGTAGCCACAAGCACAGTTTAGTGATATAATGATAATGTATTGCAAATTTGGTTGGCTGTAAGTAATTTTTTTTCTCATTTGCGCAGATGCTACACTGCAATAAATCACTCCGCAAATTTATGGTACCACTGTTTACCACTGTGTAATAACTGATTAACTAATTGTCCTGACTTCAAGCACATATGCAAAGATGTGTCCAATTTCCTACAGTATAGTTTTGTGGCTGTACACTGTTATATCACCTAAATAGAAATAAGCAATTACCTGCAAGTACTAAAAACAACTGACTGAATTATTTTATTCCTGACAAATAAAGACAAACAATTCAGCTGTGGCTACTGACTGTAAATCAGACAGCTGACATCTTATGTAACAGTAAGTTCCAATAGCACAATCTGGCTTGGATTTCCCAAAAGCAAATGGTAGTGCAAGCACAACACTGAACTCTCTCTACCAGTTAAGATGGTCTTAACACTGTGACTAAAGTGTTATTTATGATAACAGTGTTCTGGAACCACAGTTCAGGAACCACAGTTTTGCATTTAGTTTCTACTTTACATACAAAAACAGACAATTCCATTAGTTCATTTCTGTATGACAATATCTGATCTGCAGCCCATTTGGTCAGATTCTGAAGAAGCGAATGACTACAGGACTACATCAAATTCTGAACCTGTCATTGACCTGAGCGAGCCTTTATGTCCACCACTGTCACACAACAATTAAGCCAACCAGCATCAGTCATAAATGAACAGAAAACGTTTAGGCAAACAAAATGGGCTATGAAACACTTTACAGACTGACTAGAATAAAGTATTGAAAAAAACTGAGTGAAGTATTGAAAAAGCTGAGCTGAGCCTGAGATTTCAACGTTTTTATGGTTCTATCTATACCAGTGCGGTACATTTTTTTATTGGACATTTGTTCTATATATTCTACTTTCTCTCTTCAATTTCATATGAAATAAGTGTGGCGGCCCCGTTATTGTATACCAGACTACACCACCCCTTAGTTTATACCTAGAGCAAAGGGGAGCTCTGACTGTAGTAACTTCACAAATGCAGGTTCAAGAAAATACAAAAATACAATCTTTATTAAAGGAAGCTGAGGTCATACACTGACTGTTAGTTCAGTTTATAAAAAGAACATAAAAATAAATAAAACAACCAGTACTAAAAAATATTCACAGTACTCCGGGGATTACTCAAGCCTTGGCTTGTTGGGACACTAACGGAAGATTATTCTCTCAGTGACACATGTGAATAAAAAAAAGAAAAAACACCATTCCAGCCATACATGCTAATCACTCCAAATGCACTGCACTGCAAATGTCTACCATTCTAGTGAACACAGCAATCCATCCCCAAACATTCCTCCGTCCCAAACACCCTGGATTAAACTTAACCCCACGTAGACTGCAATATCACAAGGGAAAATAATAGTAATAAAAAAAAATAACTAAAAGAATTTGCAATCCCTCTAGCCAGTGGCTCACAATACACCAAATACCCGTTTGCACACACAATATGCCCACAGGCTAGAGGGCAGCTTAGGCAATAAAATACCTTCGTTAAAATTTAGAGCAGCATCAAAATTGAAACTCAATAATAAAACAAAGAATAAAAAATGGTAAGAGAACAGCAGCTGGCACAGGACATAACCAAAAACTGCTACCAGGACCCTAAGGTGTTTGAATATATGCCTGCCCCAAAGACCCCAGATGGCTCTGTTCACGCCTGCTCTCATCCTAATTACTGACGTAGCACAGAAAGAAAAACAAACAGAAGGTGTTCCACTACACAGGCTACATAAGCACCAAAAAATAAGCAAACTTACATCTTCTCACTCCTGAGAAGACAGAGAACAAACTACTATCAAATGTATTTCAAATAATCTGTTGTTAAATGCCGCTGAACATGTTTCGGAAACACAGATCACCTACACTTCAGTCATTAATAGATCATCTAAAATGGGCATAACACCTTCTGAAGCTGACCCTACACTTTACGATTTTAACCTAGATTTGCCCCTTCCATCCAATTTTTTAAACGTTTTTGACTCAAAACCTTCATGAGTCAGCAATGTAACTGAACATAATATAACTGAATTTAAGTGATTCAGGCAAGAGCCAATGAGAGAAGAGAGAAAAAACAGTGAAGAATGAATGCACATTGCGTCAGCAGATGCTGCTTGTTTAGCTCAGGCAAAGAGTCACTCCTACAATTTCTAAGTAAAGGTCCTGTATTGTACATCCAGCTTAAGTTTTATTTCTCATATATTTAGCTAAAAGAAGGTATAATCACAACAAATCATTTGTACAGAGAGTGGCTTACCTTAACTGGGGATTTGTAGCTTAAGGGAAGCAACTCTCTATACTACAAGTGGTTTTGCCTTAGTTGAACTAAATACATGGGAAATATGTCACGCTCTGTTTAGACAGTTCCTTAATAAGTACAGCATCTGTAATTAAATATTATGTTCAGTGAAAATTAATTATGGATATTTTTTAAATTAATGTGGTTGTACTTGGTCTTTTAGGAGTGAGATAATGACTTGATCATTTTGGGGGTATGGGAAGGTCCAATATAAAACCAACTTTCTGTAATGCATAAAGATGCTACTTTTTTGCAGAAGGAGTTGCAAATTTTGTTATTTTATTTGATGTTTATGTTTGGCAAAGCACATTCAATACAATATTTGGGGATTATTTGCTTTCCTTTTTTTTCTTTGTTTTCCTTCCAAAACTGTTGCATAAATGCACTTGAACACTGCAGTTTGTGTGTTATAGTTAATAACATCAGGGCTGTGATGATCTATCCAGCTCCAAAAAAGTTGGGATAGTAGCTAAAATGCAAATAAAAACGGAAAGCAGTGATTTATAAATCCAGTTTGATCTGATATGATTGGATATTCGTAGGTTTTTAAAGTGAACAAGAGGAATATATGTAATTGGAAATCACAAGTTCTTAGAGGAAATGAGAAGAGTGGATATCACTGCACCATGCTAAACCACACCTTTAGATAATATATTAATTCAATCTCTTTTTACCAGTGCACAATCTGCACCAGGTTACCGCCTGCACTGCTCAACTTATAAATACAAAAAATGTATCAGCCACACCCACAAGTGCCAGCAGCATGATTTTGCACTTTATTTTTGCGCTTGCACCATGATCACAAAAAAAGAGCCCTGTGTGTGATTTGAGATTTGGCTTTAATTGTTGCAAGATTTAAGACTGACTTCTAGTATATATATTGTTTAGTAATTTGTATATTTCATCTTGTGCTCTTTATTCAGGGATTGCTACCATCTGGGTATGAAATGTAACTTTTCCTATGAACGTTATATGATGTTCGCACGAGTTTGCACTGATGAGAATGGTGAAAAGCAGATCTGCGTGAGAGACAAGGTGATCTTTATCACATGGAAACTGTGTTAGAATGACATTTAAAAACAGTTCTAAGTTTTTCTTTTATGTCCACCAGGAAGCAATGAACATGTACGAGCTGTTTCAGATTCGCTACCTCATTCGCAAAACTGCTTGCTATCACAGGGTTACAAAGGCAGTTGAACTCATGTAAGTTCATGAACCTATAGAACTGCACCATCATTTTGGATGAAAAATTTATGATAAATTCTCCAAAGGTTTTGCCCTCTCCTGTAAATTTTAGAGATACTTGGGGTTGTTTTGGGCAGCAATGATATATCACATATGTATGTATCACAAATATGTTTTCTCCCATCCATTCATATTTCCAGGTTGGTGGATGGGCTCATACAAGCTGAGGACTTTAAATTGGGTGAAAAAGAACTCACCATCCCTGAAGCAGTAAAGGACCCAGAAACTTACTCGAATCTCACAGGTTTTGTCTAAATCTCACCTACAAATAAAATATACTGTGCTGTGAGCACTTTGCCTTCTGCACTAAGTGTAACATTTTCTTTTATCTTAATCATAACTAAGATAAACTGAAGCAACTATGAAAAGCAACATAGCAAAAATGGAGAACGGTATCACAATAAAGTTGCATGAGAAAGACAGACTTATGTATAAAGTCTGTTTTGTGTTGATGTCTAGGTTTTTCTTCTTCTGTTGTACAGATGACATTCTTCAAGAAATTCTTCGTTCATCAGACCCAGAACTCGACACAGCAAAGGAAACCTTCAAGAGAATTTTAAAACGTGATCTTTACAAGTTCATTGGTGGGAAAATATTTGACCCAAAGGAACTGGAACACTTGTACAGGGCTGAAGCGTGGAAGGTTAGTCACAGAGGTTATTATGCACATCCAAATAGAGCTATAGTCATGTCCACTTTTACTGAGTCCAAGACTAGAGTACAAACACAAAAGTTGTATGTATGAAGAGTTTCTTGACAATGAGTGCCCACTCTAAGTAAATGCTGCCAGTGCCCACTTTGAGTGAAACCAACTGTTGTCTGCTCTAAATGAATCCAACTAGTGCAAATGCTAACTGGCTAAATGAAAAACAAACACATGCAACTATTTAGAGTGCAAAATGCTGCCAACCATCGCTAGCCAATTTAACTCTGACCCTAACTAAAAACACTGTTAGCTAGCTAGCTCCAAATATTTCAGTTTTTTGCACAACAGTCTTTTAGTAAAACAGTAGACTTATCATCATAGATATGCAAGGTTGCTGAAGTTAGGAAACTGCTTAAGCTTTTTTCAGCATGTTTTATCTCACTGAATAGTTCATGTGAATAACTTGAGTGCAAGTCAGCACATACTAGTGGGCAGTAAAAGAAAGAAAAGTTTTTTAATGGTAGTTGGACTCAAGGTCAAGACCAAAAAATAAGTTTAGCAAAAAAGAGACAAGTCTAAATATAAATATTACTAAATCCAAGTCTGAGACAAAAAACAGTATACACAAAGATTGGCAGTATTTATACCAGAGGACTGCACTTAACTAGCACGGCATGTTTTGACATTCCTTTATATTTGTGTTTCAACAGCAGTTGAAAATTCCGTATAGAAAACTTTCTAGGGATAATAATAAGATTCATGTGTGTCTTCAATCTTGTCCACACTTTGTTTACATCCAGTGTGTTTTTATGTCCCTCACAAAATGGTGAACTACATGCCCGGATGCCCTTTTCTCATTTTCTCTTAGGAAAATGAACAGGAAAAGCTGGCGGCCTGGTTGGATAAAGTCAAACACTTGGCTGGTGATCAGCAGCTAACTCTCAGAGCAGAAGACTTTAAAGTTGTGGTACGTGCTGTAAAACTTCATTTGAATCTCATTCTGTGATTAAATTTGGAATAAGTTTTAGTGCTAGTATAGTACCACGTTAAGCACATAATTACACATGAATAGTAAACTACAGTATCCACACTTAGTAGTCTTTGAATAAGCTTCAGCTTGACCAAGAATCACCAACAGCTAAAAGGCCATTTCACCCTCTTGCAAAACAACCAGTCATGGACAACAGACACATCCACGTGAATAGTAAAGCAAATGGGATATTTTGTTTACTTGCTACTAACTGCTTCAAACAAAACTCTGGAATAACTTTTAAGTACATAATGCCGCAACTTTCCAAAAGACCAGTGACAATATGTTGCTCCAAAAGCTCATTTGTGTGTTGGTGTGCAGAGCAGCCAAATGCTTGTTATTACTGTTAAAGCCTGATAAATGTTTCTTTGTCTTTTCTGTGTGTGCTATTGATCGTTCTTTAAACAGCTGCCCATTTTATCATAAAACAAAGAAAAGGAAGTCCAGCTTTCTTTGTGATGACGCTATGAAGAAAACACAATATAAGTTAGGGAGGCACCTAAATTCCAGCCACTGAAAATTTTTCTGCCCAAAATGATATCAAATGGCACTTTCTTTTACCTGAGTGAGCTTGTAAGGTCATTCAGAGTGGAGTTCAGATTGGTAAATGGTTATTATTGATTTGTTTATTTAGAGTAACAATAATGAGCAACTGATCTGTGACATATTTATACATATATATATGTTTTCTTGTTCAAAAAGGTAGCTTGTGACACAAACAAAATAAAAAATATAAACATTTTTAAAAATATACGTATTTTAAAAATATGTAAATTTTCTTAGATTGCATTCTTTACATATGAAAATAAACAGCAGCACAGAAATCACATGATTAATGGATAAGAGCAGATAAAGCACCCATATGACAGTAAATAACATGCAGGGAGGTTCAGCTGGCATGCGAGTGGCGGTGCACTGTTCTTCTGTGCAGCATTACTTGCACAAATATCTACGTGGAAGATTTATCACAAGGAAACATAATCTGTGACAAAAAGACTCCTGCCTGGCTACAAAAATAGGTGTCTGCCAAAATACTTCCACATAATGTGAAAGTGCACATGCACTGCACCGGTGTTGTTCAAACCAGAATTTACAGAAAGCAAAAAGGGAAAGTCTTACATTGTTTCTCTCTGTCTCTGTCTCGTAATTGAGATTTTGGAGATGTATGCCTTAAGCTCTGCAAGCCTCAGTGTTCTTGGCTTACCGATGACTCCCTTTTCTGCATCACAATGCAGATACATTTATGCACATCTTCGCAGAACTATGCATCAGCTTTAAAACGGAATATGCACAAGTTAACATGTCAATTGTGTGAGTAAAAGGACATTAAAAACTTTAAAAAAAAAGTACATGGCTACGCCACATCGTTTGAAGCACCGATATATTTTGGATATACTTTTCCTTTCCTAATTATTATTGAAATGATTATTAATTGTATACTTCCATCATTACAGGATATCAAATTGAATTATGGCATGAAAGAGAAGAATCCAATTGATTCTCTCCGATTCTACAGGAAAGACAATCCAGACATTCCAATACAACTGTCTAAAGAAGAGGTACTAGATGTAATAACTATGTTTTGCGTGTTACTTCTCTGTTGCTTACCACAGAATGACTGCAATACATTACACCTCTTTTAAATTTCTTTTTTAATTGAGTTTTTTTTCCTCCCTGCAGGTCTCACACCTCCTGCCTGCGAAATTTTCTGAAATCAAGATCATGCTGTTCTACACGGGAAATGAAGAACGTGCTGCGGAACTGACCAAGAAGCATGTTGAACTATTCTGGTAAGAACTTGAGGCGATCGGTAAAAGGCTCCTCTCTCCAAAAGGCCATTATGCTGATGACCAAACCCAGAGAGCATACGGAAAGCAGTAAATTAGTGGTGATTCACATGGTGGCTATTCTGCATTAGAGCTTTAATCAGGCATTAAATTTTGGTCCAAACTCAAATATAGGCCGAAAGAAAATTCTGTCTGAACTGACTAATAGCACCTCAAGGTTTGAATCCAAATCCAAAATTTTGTTTGAACTTGACTAAAAAAACAGCAAATATTGAGTCAGAAATTGACCCGAGCACTGCAAAATTCTGTCTGAAACTGATTAAAAACTTTCAAAACAATATGCCAAATATTTTTAGTCTTGATAAACTTTTTATACTGTTCTCATGCTGTGCAGTGATGATATAGTGGGATCTTAGCTTTCACCTGGTTAATCCTATTGATTTCTGCCATAAAACATATTATATAAAACATATTTAAAGTATAACAAATTTAATTTTGTTCTTTGGCTAAATATTAAATATAGCTGCCCTTTTGGCTGCACTAAGCATTAATTGTGATTTGCTGTTTTATTTCCTGGACATCTATTTTCTCACAAGTGTGGACCACATGGACCTTACTAGAGTGAGTGACTGTAATATGTACACCAACTTTTGAGGTTTTAAGGTAGTGAAAGTAGTAATAATGTAAGGAGCAAAAAACTAAAGCAGTGAGAAATATAGGGTAAAATTGTGAAATCTGAATCTGACCTGAGGCCAACACATATTTAAGAAATTATTTCTTTAGTCGTCCTGTCCATCTGAAGTAACACAGTCTAACAACAGTTCCAACATACAGTCTTTATATTTAGTATCTGCCCTGCAGCTACTGGTACATCTACTAAGGAATCTGTCAGGACATTATGTAGTAGCAACAGTTTGTACCATTACTAAGGAAACACCTAGTTGAAGTAGACATCTTCTAGCCATGTGTTTCCAAAAATTAAAGACAGAAAATATAATAAACCTCACCAATAACTGTATATGCTGCTTTATTATTCAATGTTATTTTTCTGCCATGTTTTGATGTTTCCAGGAATGACTTGGACCCCATCTCTGCTGAAGTAAACAAGTCCCCATTTCACACAAATATCACAGGTTCTCTCTTTATCTCTGTAAACTGGGCACTGGGAACTAGTCATTCATTACCAGAAATACATAAATATCAATTTAGTTATCAAACACTTAAAATTTGATATGATAGCAAACTATATATGAATTAACTTCAAATAGACAAATACAGCATATATTTTACCAGTAATTTTTAGTAGTACCTTAGTAGTAAATGAGGCAAATGCATTTTCTGTTTTTTCATTGGCATGTGGGTACTTGTTTGTGAGTGTTTATGTGTGAGCTCTCGAGGACAGAGCATTTATATTTGCTAATTCCTCTTCTTAATGATGCCAATAAATTTGGTCAGTGCTTTAATTTTAAAGTAACATGTCCTCAAATGGTATGTTAACTTGATGAAACATATATCCAATGTTTAACAAGTAATATTATTATAATAATCACAATGAATACTACTGCTACTCATAATAATAATAATAAAAATAATAATACACACATTTATATTGTGCATTAGATAGCAAATTAGCCATATGAAACTGCAAAAGAACAATGAAAAATCTGAAATTGTCTTGTTATAATGTTGCATAAATTGCTTGAGATTGAAAGACTTAAGTATTTTAGAGCAAACTTTGATTTGTGTTTAATGTAGTATTTTTTTAGATTCTATGTTTAGATTGATCTTCTTCTGCTTTACAGCTGAAATCCTATGCTCACCAAACCATGCAACGGCACAAGAAATCAATGCAAGAATTCTAAAACGGGGCATTTACAAGTCCATTGATGAGAAAACATTCAGAACAGAGGAACTGGAACACTTGAACAATGATGACCAATGGAAGGTTAGTTGCTTTACTTGGCTGCAACTATTACATGATCATCTACTTGCATTACACCACCCAGTGAATTTTTTGTCCCAGTTCAGTAATATAAGAGTCATATAAGCATGAACAACTAAACTAAGCATGGACAATTATAAGCAAATGAAGCTAGATATATAAGCTGCCTTGTTACTGGTTAGTTAGCTGAAATAACTTGACAACTCGGTCTCACTTGACCCACATTTAGGCTCAGAACCCACAGGACCCAAAGAAATGCCAGACAATCTACTACTGGTATACTTGTAATAAAGACGCCGCTGCTAATCAACGACTTAGACAGTTGTAGGAGACGCTCAAGCCATTTTTACTTCGTACTTTGCCACAAACAGAAAATGGATACTTTTAAGATCACATTTGACCGACAGCCGATTTGGTCAGACTCTGAAGATGAGACTACACTAAATTCCCAAACTGTCAGCTGGTCTGTGTGGAGCTGGAGAACGAACTGCTGGCTGTGCAGCGAGTGGACGGAGTTCGTTACTCTGACGTAGCAACAAGCTGCTTGTTAAGGAACTATAATTTGGCGGAAGAAACTGCTAACTCATTAAATGTCACGTTCACGGCCCGGTTTATTTTTTTTTTTACTTTATTTACTTATATAACTCTTGTATAAAAGCAATAGAACACTCAAGGTTGTGCATTATCGCTATAACATCACTGCTGTGTTGATCTAGGGCCTGATCTGCGACCAAATCACAACCGTGATGTTATTTCGCGATAACACACTCCCTCTTGTGTTCTATTGCTTAAATAAATGCTTGCTGGACTTATGCCATCACATATCACATGTATGTTTACTACAAGTAACGGAAATCCAGTTACGGAAATCTTGCTCCAGTGACTTGATCACCTGTCAGGTTCCAATGTTTTTTTACTGAACTGGGAAAATCTGCTTCTAGCTACAGTGCACCAGCCAGCTGGAATTTACTATAGGAATTCCTAAATCTCAGCTCGCTGGTGTCAGTCCATGACTTTAAACTGTTAATCTCTAATTATCGCTACTTAGCCTGCAACTATTTTATTTGATCTTAGTTCTTATTTGATTTTGTTGTGTTTTATCTTTTTGTTTATTTATTATTATTATTTACTATTTGTTGTACTTTTTAGTATTTTTAGTTTTTGTTATTTTCTTTTATTTGACCTATTTTACATTTGAAAATTCTTCCTAGTTTTGATTAAATTCAGTCTTTAGGCTACACTACAAATGAGGGTCAACCTGAATGTATCCCAAGTTTAAATAAAGGTTGATTGATGATCGACTGATTTATGTTTTTTACAAAATGGAGAATTATATTCTCACCATCTTCTAACTACCAGGAAAAGGTGGAGGCCTGGTTGCAAAATGTCCAGGAAGAGGCTGTTGATCTCCAGCTAACTCTCACTGCAGATGACTTTAAAGTGGTAAGTGCAGTAAAATATATGCTTACACTGCAGGAGCCCTCACACACTGTGGCTGAATGTGGGTGTGTTGCACAAGACACTGAGTTCTGACCATTGTACTACAATGCCAGAGTTTCTTATACTGCAGTTGCACTGGACTATCACTTCACTATTTTCTTCAGCAGCATGCAGCAAAACCCAGGAGAGAATGAATGCCCACCAGTAAAATATATTTTAGGTTGTTCAACGCAGACTAGAACATTAGATTGAACAAAAACCTCCAGATGTGCAAGCAGGATTCAAGAAAGGCAGAGGTACAACAGATATTATTACTGATGTATGCAGGATTACAGAAAAAGAAGTCAAAATGTGTTTAATTGACAACAAATTTTGACTGTGCTGACTACATAAAATTATAGAATGTCTTCAGGAAAAAGAGTATACAAGAGCATCTCATTCTTCTAATGTGAAATATTTTTCAATAAGCCACAGCCATGACGGAAAATGGACACAGTGGTTCCACATCAGCAAAAGAGTTAGACAAGGCTACATGCTATCATTATATGTGTTCAACCTGTATGCCTAACCTGTATTAAGAAAAGCAGGACTGGAGGACGAGGATTGAGAATTCAAAATTGGTGCAACAAACATAAATGACTTTCAGAACGCAGATGACATGACACTCTGATAGCAGAAAGACAACAAGACCGAAGGCCTTTATGAGGACAGTTAAAGAAAAAAGTGAAACAAAAAAGACTGCTAAATTGCACCACTGATGGTGTGGTGGACTTCTTGGATACATTATTAACAACCAAGGATCCAGCACTCCAGAAATATAACACAGATTAGCACTCAGAAGAACAAGATTGAAGGAGCTAGAAAAGATCTTCAAATATTATGATGCGTCTCTACAAACTAAGATCAGAATTGTCCAGGCTCTGGCCTGTTCTGTAATTCTTTATGGATGTAAAAGCTGAGCAATAAAAGGTAGGGATAATGCTGATGCCCTTGAGCCCTGGAGTTGGTGAAGACTTATGGATCATTTTGGATCACTGACTAAATCAAGCCTCACAATCTCACTCGAAGCCCATATTACCCAACTGAAGCTCTCATATTTTACAAGAAGAACCAATTCACTGGAAAAGACAGTAATGCTTGGAAGATCTAAAGCTACCAGAAGAAGAGGGTGCCTAGCAATGAGATTGACAGATACAATCAGAGATGTCATGACCAAACCTTTGAGAAGCCTGACAGTTAATAAAAGCAAAAATAATGGGTGGTCCTGATGTGCTGTAGTTTCACAGGGAAACTGTATAGTTCATTTAACATTAGGTTAGAACGCGCAAGTTTTTTGGTAACTGTGAGTGACAAGCAACATTATGATAACTGAGAAGCCGATTCTTCATTCAGTATTTTCCTATTTCCTATTTTTTTCTATTGGTTCACAAATTTATAGGCTTAAAGTTTACCTAAATGAACTTGGCACAAAGCAAAAATATTTCCTTTTTTACATCCCTGTGTCCTTTTCCATTCAAGTGAACTGGCATTTTCACCAGGCAAATATTACTCGCGTTTGGTGTGAATGCAGCTTTCTAGTGTAGTACCATGTCAAGCACAAAAATGTCTGGGCCTAGGAATAATGGTGTTTCTAAATGGATGATTAACAAGTAACAATCATCATTTATGGGTGGATAAAAAAACAATATGCATTCCCCATGTAAATCACTTGTCAAAAAGGAAATGCATCAAGAGTATTTCAAACTTTTTTCAAAACTTTTTAATTTAACAGAGTTAAATTTTGTGTCTTGATAGGTCTCATACACGCTGCCTGGCGAATCCAATTTCATTAAGGTCATCCTTTTATACAAGCAGGTTACTGAAGAATTCTGGGAAGAAATGCGAAAGGCTCCAAAAGATAAGTAAGAGGCTCCACTCTCCAAAAAATAAAACAAAAAAGCAAAAGCATATTGAAAACACTATATAGACTCTTTTCACACTTTTGGATTAGATGCAATGGAAGTTGTCATACTAGGGAGCTACACTAACTAGGGATTACAGCAGTAACAGCACACTTAAAATCTCTAAATATTTGTAGCATGCCCTTTTGCTGAAACACAGATAAAAAAAATTACTATTTCATTTGATCAGAGATATACTAAAGGAACATTACAGATATGTATTAATATTTATCTTTGCATAGGATGTTTTTTTAAGCATAAATGCTACATAGCATTCATAGCTGTCATACTATACAGCCCTACTACAGCAAATATTACAATAATATACCAATTACAACTCAACGCCATCTCTAACATCAGACTTTATTGTTTAGGGTCAAACACAATTTTTTAGTAGCATCATGGTGAAAATTTAAGTGCACATCTGCCTTCACATAAGTATCAACTTTCAGTACTCCTTCTACTCTTTATTTATAATAGTGACTTTATCTGCAAAAGTATCTCTATTAGTGAATGCATGTCTTTTGAGTATGTTGCAATCAAACTTTTTAATGATACACCTGTGGTAATAATTGTAGTATACAGACCTCTGAAGCAAAATAGTAAATTTTTGTCAGAAATTGCGGAATTATTATCAGTAGCGTCCACAAAGATTCTTCTGTCTGGGGACTTTAACTTACATATCGATAGTCCTTCACATAGTAATGCATTAGAATTCATTAGCCTTCTAGAGACATTTGATTTGAAGCAGCGCGTGGGCAGCTCTACCCACAAGCTAGGTCACATTTTGGATCTGGTCATAACTAAAGGTTTAAAAACAAGGGTGTCCAAAATCTCTGATGTTTTCTTATCAGATCACTTCTGTATTTTCTTTCAAATCAATTTTGAAAAGTTACTTTAAAACACGTTACACATTACAGTCATATCTCTCTAGTGTAATCAATAAACACAAAAATAATACCAAAATCCTTTTTTCCACTACAGACCGACTAATTAACCCTAACTTCAGTGCTAGTGCGTTTAATGATGATTTATCTTCTAATATCTGTGAAGAGTTCGCAATTCATTTCCAAAATAAAATAGACCTGATACGACAGGGTGTAGCTCAGCAGACGCAAACAAGCTCCTATAATGTTCCTGATAGGTCACCTATATTAGTAATGACATCTTTCTCTGTTATCAACTATGAGGAGCTCACAACTATTTTGAAGTTCATCCACATGTGATCTTGACCCTGTTCCTACTTCATTCCTTAAGATGGTTTTTGATTGTGTTCACAATGATGTTTAAACTATTGCAAATTGTTCTCTGTCAACAGGTGTTTTTCCAGATGCTTTCAAAACTGCCCTGGTAAAGCCTCTGCTAAAAAAGAGTAGCATGGATCCTTCCATACTAAATAATTTTAGACTGATTTCAAAGCAACCTTTTCTAAGTAAAGTCTTAGAAAAAGTTGCTTTCAAACATCTAAATACGTATCTAATATCAAACAATTTATATGAGAAGTTTCAGTCAGGTTTTCGTTCTAACCATAGTACAGAGACAGCATTGATTCACGTTATGAATGACCTGAGGCTCAGCGCTGATGCACAAAAATCCTTCTATTTTGGTTTTATTAGATCTTAGTGCAGCCTTTGATACCGTTGACCACAAGATTTTACTCCAGCGTCTTGAATGCTGGGTCGGCCTCTCAGGCACAGTTTTAGAACGGTTTAAATCATATTTAAGTAATATGCAGTTCATGGTTTCACTTGGAAATCAGTCATCAAAATGATTTGCCGTTTCTTGTGGAGTCCCCCAAGGTTCAGTCTTAGGGCCTTTGCTTTTCTCTTTGTACATGCTACCTCTAAGTGAGGTAAATTTTCATAGCTATGCTGACGACACCCAGTTATACATTTCTATTCCTTCTAAAGATCAAGACTCTGTAGACAGACTAACCAGCTGTGTGTCAGACATTTCTCAGTGGATGTCACAAAATTTTCTACAATTAAATCATAAAAAAAAAAAACTGAATTACTGATTGTTGGTACAGAAACTCATAATAATTTTTGAGAAACTTGGTTCTTTAGCTTCATCTACCAAACCTGAAGTACGAAATCTGGGTGTGATCTTAGACTCTGAGCTCCGTTTTATCCCGCATGTAAACACGGTCACTAAAGTAGCTTTTTATCATTTAAGAAATATCGCTAAAGTTCGGCCTTTTCTATCTCAGAGTGACGCAGAGAAACTTGTTCATGCATTTGTTACAAGCAGACTTGACTACTGTAATTCTCTTCTTGTTGGACTTCCTAAGAAAACTACACATCCCTTACAACTTGTACAAAATAAAGCAGCGCGCATCCTAACAAAAACAAAAAAGAGAGATCACATCACTCCCATTTTGAAAGAACTGCACTGGCTGCCTGTATCATTCAAGATAGATTTCAAGGTTCTGCTACTAGTCTTTAAAGCTCAAAACGACCTAGCACCTGCTTACATCACAGAGTGTCTGTCTGTTTATGCTCCGGCATGCAATCTAAGATCTGCAGATAGTGGCCTTCTACAGATACACTCTGTAAAATAGAAAATGCGGAGAGGCCTCTTTCAGTCATTATGCTTCTAAACTGTGGAACTCAATTCCACCTTTTATTAGACAGTCAAGCTCAGTGCTCACTTTTAAGAAGCACCTAAAAATCTCTTTAAATTAACATTTAACTAAAACTGAATGTCTCGTGGTGTTTATCTTGTAATTTAATCTTCATTTTCTTCTGATTCTAATTAAGTACTAATGATGTTTTCTATAACTATGTTTTATCACCTGTCTGTAAAGCACTTTGAGCTGCCACTGGCATGAAAAGTGCTATATAAATAAAATTCTTATTATTATCTATTACCAGTCAGTATACGTGTATGTGTTAATGAGTTTGAAATCAGCCTCTGGTGTGTGTCTGGGCAGAACCAGCGTTAAGCTGGAGAGGTTTGAGCCAATCACAGATGGGAGAGTTTATGCGAGTTTATTATCTCCCCAGGGGTGGAAGACGACTTTTGTTTATGCTTATGTTTTTGTTTTTATTTGATGGTTACTGTGTACGCAAACACTGTGTTTTATGTGTATTCTAACTTCATCAAAGTACACTGTTTTTTACTTCTCATGCTTTGGTGTTTCCAGGAGAGAGATGGTTGAGCACCCTTTCCCTTCTACAGTATACATGCGTCCCACAGGTTATCCTTCTACTGTACACTACCAGACACATAAATAGCAAGTGTAATGATCTCACATTTACAATTTGAAATCGTATCAATTAAGTGTAAAGAAATACAGACACATACCACACATACTAGAATTTTTGTGACATGATGCCTGGAAAACAAGCAAAAATGAGCAATGTCATCACAATAAAAATTGTTTTTTTTCTTACTTAAAGATGACAGACAATATTAGATGCTCTATGCTCATTTTTCTCTTCTTCTGTTTTACAGATGAAGACCTTCTAAATCAAGAACTCTCAACATCTCAGGAAATCATAGAGGCAGTCTCAAGACAAGGCCTTTACTTGTTCGTTGATGAGAAAACATTTGTATGTGAGGAACTGGAGCACTTGAACAGTTCTGAGGAGAGGAAGGTCAGTTTTTTTTCTCAACTAGCGATTATTATTAAAAACTCACATTTTTAGATCAGTAATATCAGAAACCTTTATCACGCAAAGAATTAATCTGGTTATGAATAGCTAAAAATAGTTGGCCTCACTTAGCTCACTCAAACACATTTGGACCCACAACACGACCCAAAGATTAAGAAATGCCAGACATTCTAAGTAGTATATTTGTAATGGACCACTACTGTATTTCCATCAGAAGCAAACTTTCTGGAGGTCATCTATGTCATTATCATGGCACGTTTTGACTTTTTCTTTTTACATTGTAATGTGTTCAGGTGAAGAATGGAAGTTTGAAGTCCCCTAAAGGCTGTTTTCTCTAATATTGAAAAGTGTTTCAGATTTGTCCCAAAATATGCATTAAGGGAAAAGCTCAAAATGAGCCCACCAAAATATAATACAAAATGTGTGGCACCATAAATAAGAGCTATTAAAAAAATCACACTGGTGTTTTTCAACCCTGTGGTATTTTCACAGGTGTCCTAGACAACAGCCAGTTAAAATCAACATGTAAAAGAGGTCATACATATTAAAGACTCACATCAAGTGAAGCTCTGGTTGGCTGCCAAAAGAAAAGAAAACAAAGAAAACCAAATTTCTCAGAAGGAAAGAAGTGCTGCAAATAATAGTAAATTGTCTGGTAGTGATGCATTTCTTTTGTAATCAAGTAACAAAGTTTCTCCAACAAAAAATGTTTTACCCGGTTGAAAATCAGCCAAACTGGCTAAACTGGCGCATTTACAGAATTGTTTATTGTTTATGAATGTGCATTGTCTCTGTAAATCAAAATCGAATAAATTAAACGACTATTAAAATAAATGACATTTAAAAAACGTGAAGCATTCTTGTTCAGCTTTCAATTTTAGGAATTATATTTTAGCATGTAAGACAAGGTAAATCCTTGTTTATGAATCTGCCCAAACTGTTCAGAATGTTTTTGGTCATGTGGTTTGACTTCTCCCTACCTAAGAGAAATGGGAAGTAGTGTATCTATATCTTGTGGATATTAGCATTTACATTGTTGGTTCCAAAGAATTCTGAAAAGTGTTTATTTCAAGGACCACCCTTTTAGGCAACATCATGGCTTCACTCTTCCATGACAGCCCCTCCACGTTCACAAACAAAACAAACATAGAAGATGTGTACTTATTATATGAAATGTCTAGTATTTTTTAAGTAAATTTGAAAATATTTAAATATTGATTATTAGGAGATTTACTCCAATTATCACTTAACCCTAACTCTACATTTACTCCCTAACCTTAAAACCAAATAATGAATAGGCACCATTTTTGGTTGACATGTCTGAAATATGACATCCTATTTTTCCACATAGTTAGTGTGTTATATATATATATATATATACACACACACACACACACACATATATACAGTGGGGTGCGAAAGTTTGGGCAGCCTTGTTAATTTTCCTGATTTACCTTTATAAATCATTGATTGTTTGGATAAAAAAAATCCGTTAAATATATCATATAGGAGACAAACACAGTGATACTTGAGAAGTGAAATGAAGTTTATATGAATTACAGAAAGTGTGCAATAATTGTCTAAACAAAATTAGGCAGGTGCATAAATTTGGGCACCAAAAAAAAAACCTTAACTCAATATTTAGTAGATCCTCCTTTCGCAGAAATAACAGCCTCTAAACGCTTCCTATAGCTTCTAATGAGAGTCTGGATTGTGGCTGAAGGTATTTTAGACCATTCTTCTTTACAAAACATCTCTAGTTCATTCAGGTTTGATGGTTTCCGAGCATGGACAGCTCTCTTTAAGTGACACCACAGATTTTCAATAATATTCAGGTCTGGGGACTGAGATGGCCATTCCAGAACGTTGTACTTGTTCCTCTGCATGAATACCTTAGTAGATTTTGAGCAGTGTTTAGGGTCGTTGTCTTGTTGGAAGATCCAGCCCCGGCGCAGCTTCAGCTTTGTCACTGATTCCTGGACATTGATCTCCAGAATCTGCTGATATTGATTGGAATCCATGCGTCCCTCAACTTTAACAAGATTCCCAGTCCCTGTACTGGCCACACAGCCCCACAGCATGATGGAACCACCACCAAATTTTACTGTAGGTAGCAGGTGTTTTTCTTGGAGTGCTGTGTTCTTTTTCCTCCATGCATAACGACCCTTATTATGTCCAAATAACTCTATTTTAGTTCCATCAGTCCACAGCACCTTATTCCAAAATGAAGCTGGCTTGTCCAAATGTGCTTTAACATACCTCAAGCGGCTTTGTTTGTGATGTGGGCGGAGAAAAGGCTTCCTCTGCATCACTCTCCCATACAGCATCTCCTTGTGTAAAGTGCGCCGAATAGTTGAATGATGCACAGTGACTCCATCAGCAGCAAGATCATGTTGTAGGTCTTTGGTGCTGGTCTGTGGGTTGACTCTGACTGTTCTCAACATCCTTCGCTTCTGTTTATTCGAGATTTTTCTTGGTCTGCCACTTCGAGCCTTGACTTGAACTGTGCCTGTGGTCTTCCATTTTCTCACAATGTTTCTCACAGTGGAGACTGAAAGCTGAAATCTCTGAGATAGCTTTCTGTATCCTTCCCCTAAACCATGACGGTGAACAATCTTTGTTTTCAGGTCATTTGAAAGTTGTTTTGAGACTCCCATGCTGCGACTCTTCAGAGAAGATGCAAAGAGGAGAAAAACTTACAATTGCCCCCCTTAAATACCCTTTCTCATAATTGGAGTCACCTGTGTATGGAGGTCAAGGGTCACTGAACTTACCAAACCAAATTTGAGTTCCAATAATTAGTTCTAAAGGTTTTGAAATCAATAAAATGACAACAGTGCCCAAATTTATGCACCTGCCTACTTTTGTTTAACCAATTATTGCACCCTTTCTGTAAATCATATAAACTTCATTTCACTTCTCAAATATCACTGTGTTTGTCCCCTATATGATATATTTCACGGAATTTTTTTATCCAAACAATCAATGATTTATAAAGGTAAATCAGGAAAATTAACAAGGCTGCCCAAACTTTCGCACCCCACTGTATATACATACATGGAGAGAGATAGATAGATAGATAGATAGATAGAAACACACAGACACACACACACCTTTTAGGCATAACATTATGACCACCTCCTTGTTTCTACACTCATTGTCCATTTTATCAGCTCCACTTACTATATAGGTGCACTTTGTAGTTCTACAGTTACAGACTGTAGTCCATCTGTTTCTCTGATACTTTGTTAGCCCCCTTTTACCCTGTTCTTCAGTGGTCAGGACCCCCATGGACCCTCACAGAGCAGGTACTATTTGGGTGGTGACACTGATGTGCAGCACTGCAGTAACACTGACGTGGTGGTGGTGTGTTATTGTGTGTTGTGCTGGTACAAGTGGATCAAACACAGCAGTGCTGCTGGAGTTTATAACCACTGTGTCCACTCACTGTCCACTCTATTAGACACTCCTACCTTGTCAGTCCACCTTGTAGATGTAAAGTCGGAGACGACAGCTCATCTGCTGCTACACAGTTTGTGTTGGTCTTCCTCCATCAGTGGTCACAGGACGCTGCCCACAGGACGCTGTTGGCTGGATATTTTTGGTTAATGGACTATTCTCAGTCCAGCAGTGACACTGAGGTGTTTAAAAACTCCAGCAGCACTGTAGCGTCTGATCCACTCAGACCAGCGCAACACACATTAACAAAGTATGCAAACAAACAGATGGAATTCAACTACAAAGTGCACCTATATAGTAAGTGGAGCTGATAAAATGGACAATGAGCGTAGAAACAAGGATATATACATATATATATATATATATATATATATATATATATATATATATATATATATATATATATATATATATATATATATATCTCACTGCTGTCGGAATCTCCAAAATGGTAACTTTATAGGAGAAGGAACTTTACCTTTAATGTAAGTCAATGGAACCAGAGTATTTTCCAAGTAATTGTGGTCCATTTCTTTTGGTCCATTCATCATGAAATTTACACACAGTGAAAAGGGCAACAGGCATTTTCAAATTATGTCAAAAACTAAAAAACGACAAAAATGAAGATACAAGGTTTTGTTCAGACAGCAGCGATACACACACACACACACACACACACATTATATACTGTATACACACACACACATATATATATATATATATATATATATATATATACACACACACACATATATATATATATATATATATATATATATATATAGTGAAAACAGTAACCTTTTCTCACCATCTTCTCACTACCAGAAACAGCGGCAGGCCTGGCTAGAACATTTCCAGGAAGAGGATGCCACTGGACCTGCCTTTAAAGTGGTAAGTGCAGTAAAATATACACTTACTCCAGGAGACCTCGATTATGCTGTGGCTGACTGAGTTTGCTGTACATGACAGAAGTCAGTTTTCACTGTTATAGTACAATGCCAAAGCTATTATGTCAAGCACAGAACTGTACATTAACAGCAGACTACAGTAACCATATTTTAATACTGTGAGTAGGTTAATAATAATATAGTATAGTAGAGAATAAAAGAATAATATAGTCTTTAAACAAATAACTAACAGGTAACTATCAGGATTTATAGGTGTATTCCCTATATGCATAATATATATGCATTTCCTATGGAAACCGTATGGCAAAAAGGACAAAAAGCAATATCAGAAACTGGAAGCCTTGATTGTTACTGATACAATCCCTAATTACTGAAAAACCACTGTGGATTTCTTTATAACCACACAATCAATACAATGTATTTCTGACTTTTTCAAAACAAACATTTTTGTAATTGACAGAATTACATTTTGTGTCTCCGTAGGTTTTGTACTGCCTGCCTGGCAAATTCTATACAATTCAGGCCATGCTCTTCTGCAAGAGAATTCCCAAACAGGTTATTGAAAAATTCTGGGACGAAATGCGCACAATTACAGAAGATGGGCTAGAGGCTCCACGCTCCAAAAGGCCAAAACACTGATGAGAAAACTGAAGAATACTGAAAGCACTAAAATGAGGGGTCTTACCCCCAAATTGTGGCTATTGTGTGAATGCAGTTAAATTTCTATCAATGTACTTAGTTAGCCATCCTTGTTAAAGTCTACCCTTTCAAATTACACAACATTTGTAAAATGCTTGAATTACACAGAAGCCATTCAACATTCACCACATAACATTCCATCTACTCAAAGTAGAGTGGTTTGATTGGTTAACTTCTCGGCTAGGACAGGCAAAGACATTAACTGTGGAGTGCATTATTTGTGATCTAATTTTCCTGATTCTGATGATTGTAGCAAAGCAGCACATTGTTAAATATCTGTTATATGAAACCAAAACACCACTGAAAATTCTAATTTAGTATGAACACCAAAGTAACCACTATGTTGTTATTTGCTACATTTTATTGTACTCATCATTGATGTATCATAGAATCTAGTTACTGATTTACTATTTCTCAATTATAACACAAACTGCTTGTTGCAAAGTACCTTCCAGAGTTATTAGAACTCAGGATGTTTTAAGCTAAGCTAACTAATGTTATTTTATGTTATGACTTATTTTCTTTATTCTTTCCTTATATTATGATCGTATGGTGACTGGTAAAAGTAGCTGGAAAATGGGTATTTTATATGATTATTTCTTCATATGAGAATCATTACTTTTGTAGTTTTAGTGGCTCTCTGTACTTAGTCAGTTATCTCCTATAGAACGTTGCACTGAATTTATAGTCAGACCACTCTGTACTGGATAAGGGAGGTAAGAACATCACAATGTGTAGCCCTGTCACCTGGAGAGATGGTTCAGCTGGTAACATCTTATAAAATCTGAACTATAGATTGCATTCTGTATCTTTTAGTTCATTCTTGTGTTGCTGATGCTTTAGAAAAAGGTTAAATGTCAAGTACGTCTGCATTGTAAAACAAAGATTAAAACAAAGATCATACTTTCCTGTCTCTCTAAAACTTATATGAACATACATTGCCCATTTCTTCCATCCTTGCATTGCATGATTTACTTACACCCACACTACCAAATATTTAAGTGTGGACCCAAAAGGGTAATTACTTACTGACGTTTTTCCACCGGGCAGAGCAGTGTGGGACAGTTACATATCCGTGATCATGCATTTTGATGTTATTTCCACTGCCAAGAGGACTGTACCATACCTGAGTGTCAGTGCTGAATTTGGTTACCCTTCTTGCATGGGTATCGAGCATGCCAAGAAGAATCACATGGGTGGAGCTAGTAACGGTTCAAACCACTGATTGGTCAAACACATCATCACAGAATCATCACAGAGTGTCACTGGAGTCATATGGAGCCATTATAAAAAAACACTACCTATGTAGAATTGCTGTCTGCAACTAACATAAAACCAAATGCAGTAAAAAATGATGTTAAATCAGAACTTGAAGACCCAGCATGGTTACTACAGTTGTTTTTCTTTAATAATGGCACTAGATTCACAAGAAATCATCAATCATGTAAGCACACAAGCTAAGCTAATACTATAAGAACAATTGTCACAGTCCAGTCCTGTTATGTGATGGAAACTGGACACAGGTACTCAACCAGTATACGGATAGTTTTGGTTTCTGATTCACTGTACTGTGCTGGGCCACATTGCTATAAAATGCTGGTTGAGCCAGAGAACAGAGAATTTAGAAAGTTTAGTAATTTTAATAAATGCCAACAATAAATAATCTTTGCACAACAACATTGTATCTATAAATAAATAATAGTTTTAAAAGTATGTTTAAGTAATGTGCAATTGATACTACTATGTTTTATCCTATCAACTGTTTTTTTGTAAATTCACAATCATTCTCAAATTAATGCCTGAAACATGTTTAAGAAAAGTTGGGACAGGACAATTTAAGACTAGAAATGTTGTAAAAACTTAAAAAAAAAACACCTAAAACACATGATGCTTGGATATAACATAAGCATCCAGGAAAGGCCTAGTCCTTTATGAGCAAAGATAGTCAAGGCATGCTACTTTTCCAAAGATGTATCATCAAAAACAACAACAATTTAAAAATAACGTTCTTCAGCCAGGGATTTAGGATTTTAGGTATTTGACCCTCTACAGTGAATAATATCATCAAAAGATTCAGACAATCTGAAGATATCTCTGTGTGTAAAGGACTGACCTTCATGACCTTCAACGCTTCAGATGGTCTTGCATTAAAAAAGCATGTTTATGTGATGTATTGATGCATCCATAAATGCAAGTTAATACTGTGCTATGCGCAATGAAAGTCATATGTCAACAACATCCAGAAATGCTGCTGACTTCTCTGAGCTCAAGCTCATCTCAAATGGACTGATGCACAGTGGAAATATGTACTGTCGTCTGACAAGTGAGCCTTTTAGATTACTTATGGAAACAATACACCTCATGGTCTCTGGATCAAAGAAGAAAAACATCAGGATCGTTACCAGTACTACAGAGATGTCCAGTTTAGTGGAGAAGGACAGAGGAGAACTAAACCAGCACACCCAAGGAACAGACCGCGTAATCTGTATTCATTTTCACATGAACTAAAGAATGGCGTTATTTTCAGCGGCCAAACACAAAAACTCGACTCCAGCCTGAGGCAGCATTAGCTGACTTTGCTGATCCGAGCTAAACAGGTATCGTATTTCCGGGTTTCTTCTTTCTTTTATAATGATTCTGTTTATTAAACTTGAAATCTGTTGCATATATTTTATTACAGCGCCTGTCAGCTCCTTTAGTTAACAGGTGTCGCACACAGCCTACAGTTTACCCGTTTAAAATACAGCCTAGCTTAGCTGCTGTTTTTTGAAGATAAACGGTCGTTATGGCTGTGAGACAAGAAATCTAGTCTAATACAGGCTCTTCATAAAGTCTGCGCAGTGATTCTGTTGTGCTGTCGTTGTTTAAGCTGACTGGCTTCAGATCAGATCCAACTGAAGGTGGAGGATAAAGTTCTTTTGTTGCGCACATACTGTACACAGACCAATCAGAGCTTACCTCACATTAATAAAGAGCCCTCAGAGACACCTTGGCATCACTCAGACAGAGTTTAAACAGTGTTGAACCATAATATTCAGATCATCATTCGGTCTGACTGTAGAAAAAACTGTACAGTTATCGCGTCTGGACTTTCACTGACTTAAATATGTAGAGGCTACAAAAATACTCTTCGATCTCGCCTTACAGAAAATACTGTATCTTCAGAGACTCAGTCAGTTCACCACAGAACTGTGCCTTACTCTCCTTCCTCTCTCTCTTTCTTTCTCTCCTGTCCCACCTCCCCAACCCTCTCTGTCTAGCAATTTACTCATAATTTTGACTCAATGTTTTTAAATGAACTTACTTAAACAGTATCACACTGTGCCTTTCAGGGTTTCTATAATACTTTACTGGAAGCAGATAAACTAGGACATCTTATATAATCATCTAACCATGAAATGCATGCAGTTTAATGTAAACCTTGTTCCTTACACAGTCGACAGAAAGGTGTGTAATTGTGCACTAGCAGAGCGAACTGTGATCAGTTTCAGCTCTCAGAACTTATTTTCCCCACATAATATCATGTTTTGCTTCAGTTTTTTTTTTTCTGTACCGATTATTTAGAAATATTTTCAGGTTGTGACAGCAGAAATATGAAAACGTATATTGAGTACTCAATAAACTTCTTATTTACTTGAGTAATGTTATTTATTTGAACTTGAGTAAAATATCACTGCAGTAACAGTACTTTTACTTAAGTAGGGTAAATGAAAAAAGTTCTAATAGTTCGTTTAAGTAATGTGTGCATCACTTCTGCTTCCCCTTGTACTTTCACTCACTGACCACTTTATTAGAAACACCTACCTTGTACTTCCACTTACTGGCCACTTTATTAGAAACACCTACCTTATACTTTCACTCACCGGCCACTTTAATAGGAACACTTACCTTGTACTTTCACTCACTGGCCACTCCATTAGAAACACCTACCTTGTACCTCCACTCTGTCCACTTTACGAGCTCCACCTACCTTACAGGTCCATTACATCAGTGTACAATTACAGACAGCAGTTCACTTGTTGCTGGACAATTTATCATCCCCCTTCCACCCCACTGTTCACTGGTCATTTTCTGACTATGAAATTGCTGTTGTCCAGATATTATTTGGGTGGTAATCAATTCTCAGCAAGCCAGTCACACTGATATGGTAGTCTGTGAGCTGGTTATACACATCTGTGACATTGCTAGGTTAAAAGTGGTCCACCACCCAAATATATCCACACAAAAGCAGGTCATTGCTCGTAAACTGTAAATACATAAAAAGATATGGGTATTTTGACTCTAATGGATAATGGCTATTATCCCGCTTCTAAAGTAACTGCCTGTATTTTTTTTCTTTCGTTAATAAAACCAACTACATTTTATGCAAATGGAATTCTTAAAACAGGAACTACTGCAGGATAATAACAAGCCTCTCAATTAAATTAAAATATTTTTATTTATTAATATATTTTAAATAAATACTTGTTAATAAACTAATAAACATATTTCTGTTGTTTATACTCAGCTTGCTGCACATTATTACGATTTTACAACAAAAACATCATTTTAAACCCTTTTTACTCACAGTTTTCTGTCAGTCACCGCAGCTGCTGCCACCGTTCAACTGTCTCTGCTGTGATGGGTTTCCCCACGCGCGGCTGCCGTAATAGCGGGAAAATCAGACCCAACGGCTGGAATGCTAATACAGATGTACATCTCAGTAAAATGACCCAGTCACACCTGATTTGGACAGAAAATAACACAAACCAGTAGTTCAGCGTGTTATAAAGTGGACAGTGAGCATAAAACAAAGCAAATCTCGGAAACATTTACCAACAAAAACTCAGTTTTTCTGTGGAATATATAGTTTAGCTCTTAGCTAACATTTAGGCTACACACAATGAGACTCCCTGACCTCAACTGAACTTTAGCTCACTTCTTCACTCACCGTCATTTAT